CTCCACACCGGGGCCACGACTCGGTGGCCACTGCTGGTTAGTGAAGTGGGGACCATCGTCTGGAGGATGTCACCTTGTGTGTTCCCGTCCGTCCCCGTGTCATCTCCATCCTTGCTGGGTCAGGCGTCCTCCGTGCAGGCACCATGAGTACAGACGCGAGGCCTGCAGCGCCGTCTGACGGGTCTTGCATCTCTCTGCAACGCTTGGAAGAGGGAGCTGGTGGAAAACGAAGCGGGAAGGTCCAGGCTGGGGCTGTGCTTTTCACCTTCTCGCACATCTTCTCTTGCAGAGAGCAGGCCGTCGCCTCAGGAGCTGCAGGAGCTGGAGCTGCTGAACAAGGCCTTGGAGAGGGCGTTGAAAGTCAGGAGAAGCGTCCAGAAAACTCCTCTGGAAGCCCAGGGAGATAGAGGAGGGAAAGCTGCAAGTGAGAGACCCGCTGTCAAAAATGCTCCAGTGCAGCAAGTGCCAGTATCTAGTGAGGGTGCTGCTGTGGCCACCCAGGCGAGAGCTGTAAGCAAAAAGCTTTCCTCTTCTAAGAAACCTTCTTCATACCTGCTAAGAGCCCCTTATAGGACTGACCCAGAGGTGAATAAAACACATAGGAAAGCCCCAGCCAGACATACCTCTCGAGCTCCTAGTGCAGCTGGGAAGAGCCCTTCAAAAGCTGTGGTGGCTTCCAAACAAGCAAGGAGAGAGAGGCTAGCAATCGGTGCCAGGAACCGAGAAGCTTGTATTGCGGCTGAATCCCAAAAAACAACTGGCTTGTCCACACATGGCCTCCTCGAGCAGCAGAGTGTCTCCACAGGGGATTCAGCAGGGCAGGAGAACTCGATGGCTGCTGGTTGTGGTTCCCTGGGAGAGTCCAGCAGAGAGGTGGAGGGTGCAGCGGAAGATGCCTCAGGAAGGAACCGATCACCTCAGACAGACACCCTCCAGGAGAAGGGGTAAGTCCTGAGTTTGCCTGTAGGCTTGTGCATCTGCACAGGGTGACCTGTGTCCTACTACTCTGCAGAAGGCAATTTGGTTTCAGTGCACCTCAGATCTTCTCAGGTGTAGGATCCTTTACTGAGTAAGCGTTTCAGTCGTAAGGGCTTGCTGTTAGATGGTAGGACTTCCAAAGTCTTTTATTTCAGACTTTGGATAGTTCATAATCTGCTGTGACTGTTCTAGAAATATGTTAAAGCTCAGTACTGACTAAAAAGTGATTACGCTTGAAACAGTGTAATAAGAATTATAAAGTTCATGTTGCTGAGGTGCTTTGTAGAAAAATAGCGAAATAATACTTAGAAGCTTGGCTTTGCCTTCAAAGCAGTCTGTATTATTCAGACAATTTCTGTATTAATTTCTAAATATTCTTCACTTTAAAGAAACAACAAAGTTCAGATCTGACATGCATCTGTGCCCAGAAAATGTTGAGAAATAGTTCTAGAGCTGCCATAGCCCAACTCTTGTACAGTGAGGAGGGAAGTTAACACTGTCAATGCGCTCTTGGAGTGGGCACAGGGCACCGAGTGACAGTTGCTGGAGAAACAAGAATCTGCATTCAAATATTTTCTTACCTTAAGCCCAAACTATTGTTCTGCCTTCATAGTTTGCATGCGACTCTAGTTAGATATTGCCAGCCTACATGTTTTTGCCATGCAAGTTAGGGTTGATTCTGCTCTGGGGTTAAGATGGCCCTTTCCTAGTTGAGGCAAATCTGTCATGCTCCAGTTCAGCAGTGTATTTAGGGGAACATTTACTTCTGCCTGTGTTTGTAGAGATTATTCCTACTAGCTCCTATTGAAGCTGTTGCATCCATGTGCTTGGCTTTGTCATGGTTTTGTTCCCACCTAATGCTTCTTGCCTTTGGATGAACCTCTGTCTGCTGGTGGCAGATGTAAATGCTCTTCCAAGAGACCTTGATGACATTTGTGAAGTGAATGAACAGGGTAATTCCCCTTCATGGTGGACATGATGAAGATGGTGGAGAGTTCAATCTCCAGGGTTGTTGACATCTTCCATGACAACTAAATCAATGTAAAACTGAAGCAAACGGTCATTTTCTCTACTTGAAGGTGAGGCTCTGCTGACCTCTGGCAGTCAGCACTGATGAGTCTCCTGTTTTGCAGATCCCGGCTGAAGCTTCCCCTTCCTTACAGGAAAACCTATTCCAGGAACTCCAGGTAAGCCCATCTTAGCCAGTGTTGTCCATAATGACTTTCTGCCCAAGGAGGGGTTACCCATGAGGAGGGAGTCCGTATGGAAGAAAAATCTTGTCACAGCATAGTAGATTTGTTGCTGGGATTTGTCCAGATTTTTGAGTTTAAACATTGAATGTAGTGGCATCCTCCTTGTGGCATCCTCCAGAATTCCTCCTCCTCTAGAAAACTGCTACTTAAACACCAATTTATTAATTGCCCTTTAGCAAGTCTTAAAGACTCGGTTCTCTTAATTTTCCCTTGTACACTGAGCCCATCTATCTTGATTTAAAGGCTGCATCGTAATGGAGAATAGACACATGGGCCCTTGGGTTAGACAGTCATGGACTGTGCAACTATTTTAAACTTCTTCCTGATGTCTCTGATTTGCTGTGGAGGGTTTGGGGAGAGTGGCTGAAAGGCATTGGTGCTTTAAAGAAATTATTTAAGTAAAGGATGATTTGAGGAGCATGCAGCAGTGCTGATGCCAAGCTTTGTAAATGAAACACACTTCTCTGGTATCTCACTCTTATATATGTGGCATCTACTTTAAAAATTGGGCTCTTATCTAGGATTCTGGCCAGCTTAGTGTTAATACTGTTCTTTGGGAGGCAATACAGCTTGAGACAGAACAGCGCTCTCCCGTGACCTTGAAGGACCAGTGCAGACTGGTCCTCCCTTGGCTGTTCCCATGCAAAACTCACTTCACAGAGTAGTTGGATGTGGCACGGGGCCAGCTGATCACTGGGATCTGTAAGGCCACGAATCCAGAGCTGTTTGACTCTAGCAGATGTTGTGTTAACGTATAAGGCGTTCACTTGAGCAACAGAGGGATTCTGATTCTGATTAAACACTGATTGGGGTCCGTGTAATCATCCACCACACTGTCCTTAAACCCCTGTGTTGTATTAAGTCTCTGTTACCCATGGATTGCTATCGTGCGGCTCGCCAAACATTTCATGGTGCTTTAATCTGTAATATGGGTATTAAAGGTGTCTCAGGGATGTATGAAGGAATTGCTGAAAGCTAGGATAAGAATTTGTCGTGTATCTTCTCTACCATGGTAGCTCCTTTCTACATACATTTACTAACATAGTGGGTGTACAGAAATGTAAACAGCTTATCTGAAAGGTTTGTTACGTAAAAAGCATAATACAGGTTGTTTCCCACAGAGCCACTGATGTGCTGGGAGGTCACACTTTGCTTAATTTGTAGGACATCCTTGTCTCTTATGGCTGCGAATCCTGCCCCTCCAAACAATTAGAGAGAAGTAACATAGGCATTTTGGAGTACCTGATGCTTTCTGCAGCATGTCCTTGTTGGTCTAATACTGGTTGTGAAAACTAGGGGGGGAATAGCTGATAAACAACTTTTTTTTCTTTTCTTTTGATAGTAGAAGAAAGGCTTGAGGAAGATGATTGTATTTGAAGCATTGGATGTCACATCACTGTCTGCCAGCTCATTGTGAGCCCTGTCTAGTACCAAAAGCTAATTCCTTTGTTCCCTGCCCCTCTTGAATTTTAAGGGCATGGGAGAGTTGTCGTCTCTGTCAGACAAGAGCAGATGCAGCAGCTGCAAGGAACCGTTTTATAGAGAGAATCCAGACAACTGTATCCTTTCTCAGCTCGCCATGCCCTCCAAGAGCACGCCACACAATGCTTAGTACAATAATCTTGTTATGTTGGCCCAGGGCTTAGAGTGGTGTAGAGTTATTCCATGTTGGTGCTGTGAAATCTTTCTTAAGCTGCTGCTGTTTGAGTTTTGTTCACCGCTACCAGCCTTCAGTCCTGCAGAGATAGAGGAGGAGATAAAGGTCCTGCAGGATGTCCCCTTCCTTCTGAGCCAGTTTGTGGAAGCTGAGCATGCAGGTAAAAAGAAATAAAAATAAAGGCAGGGAGAAATCAGATGATTCCAGAAGGTTCAGTTATGTATTTGTCTTATGTTCCTGGCATGTGTGGGACACAAGGGACAGGTGCAGGAACCTTCTCTGCCCAAAATGAGGGCTGGTTAAGCCAAGCCTGCCCTGGAAGCTGATGTTTTAGAGGAGAACTTCAGTATTCTCAATATACGGTATTCCAATATTCTGCTAGCTTTTCTCTATGCTTCTGTCCTAGAGCATGCCACTCTGCAGCAAGAGTATGAGAGCCTCCTAACTCTGGAGGGTTTGCAAACCATAACATCTCAGTGCCTACATAAGCTGCAGCGTCTGCGAGAAGGTGAGGTCAGGCCCTGTGCTCTTAGTCCCATCTGAGTGTGGTGGGATGTGAGGCCATGGTATCTATTTGGCACCTATCTGTGTTCAGGAGAGGCTTTTAACGGGACGCAAGGGTTCGACGACTGCATTCAGAGGGTTGGGATCAGTCGCACAAAGTCCTGTTGGAGGCCAGTAATGACCAGTGGACTCCAGGGGGTTGTTTTGCCTAAAGAAAACAAGGTTTGGGGGGAATGCCATCAGCATCTATAAATATGTGAAGGGAGGGTGTAAAGAAGACCGGGCCAGACTCTTTTCAGAGATGCCCAGTGACAGCATGGGAGGCAATGGGCCAATGGGCACAAGCTGAATTGCAGAAAGTTTTGTCTGAATGTAAAGAAACACCTGTTTTACTGCAGGAGTGGCTGAGCTCTCACACATGTTGCCCAGACATGTTGTAAAATCTTGATCCTTGAAGATACTCATAAGCCTTCTGGGCTTTAACTGGGTCATCTGCAAAGGTCTCTTTCAACTTCAACTGTTTTGAGAGCTGGGAGGCTGCGTGCTATGGTTTAACGTGTCCTGATTGAGCTATGTGGAGGGGCTTGTCCCTACTAATATAATGCTGATAATTATTCATTTGTAAGAACAGTAAGTAGATCCCGCGTTCTGGAAGTGCAGATCTAACTCTCATACTCCTGTCTTCTCCTGACTCTTCCGCCCTGGCAGCTGCGGAGTCCCACACGAGGCTGTGTCCGGACTGCACCGGGGACGCAGGAGGCTGCTCCCCCGCCTACATCCCTCCCAGGGACGCGGCGTGTGGCCGGGCTGGGCTGCTGGCTGCTCCTCTCCTCTGCTACTCCAGTTTCCAGGAGCTGAGGGACCTGTTTGCCTTGAAGTTGCAAGTGGCGATGCTGAATCAGGAGATTGCCATGCAAAAGGTGAGCTAAGGGCATTAGTGCTGCTGAGCAGAGGTGGGGACGGGTGGCTGTGGTGCAGCAGGTGGCAGTACTGGATGTTGATGGGGAAGCCGCTGCCTTTCAAACTCCCCAGTGGTGTTTTGTGTTTATACCTCATGTCCAAAACCCATCAGCGCCTCACTTGGTAGAAAATGGACTTAATGCCTGACCTGTTCCTGCATAGTCTGGGTTCACTTCCAAGTGAGTTAAAGAGGGCTTCTCATCTTTGTTTTCTGGCCAATCAAGGCCAGGAAAATCAGATCATATTTTGGCTGCTCTTGCAGAGTTGGCAGTGGCAGAGGTTGTTGCTACTGCTTGGAGATCCCTTTTATCAGCTTGTTTTAGTCCTACGAGGGCAGCCACTCTCTCCTCCTCTTCTGCTTGACCTCTGACGAGTCAGTCTGTCTGTTCCTGCCTTTTCAATCTCCCATCAACCATGCTGTGCTGCCAATCTTGACTTTACCTTTCCCAGAAAGACTGTAAGAACATGATAGGAGGTCGATCTCTTCACTAGCCTGAGCAGAGTGTTTGCTGCACAGGGATCACTTGCTCTTCTCAAACTACAAACAGTAAAGGGTAGAGATGATCTGTGAAATCGCATCCACCCTCTGCCGTTGGCCTGAATGATGGAAAAAGGCACTGGAATAACAATTATTAACAAACCCAGGAAGAATTACTGGTACCTGACTGCATGTATCCCTCTAGCAGAAGGTGTCCTGTGTGAAGGCAAGCAACAAACTTTTAGTGCTGTTCCCACTGACTGGCCCTATTCCCTCCACATGTGTATCTGCAGACAGCTACTTGTACTGGGCAAGCTCAGAATCTTTGAATTTGCCCTATGCAGACTGTGCAAGGTAGTTGAATTTCTTGGGAGGGATAAAGTGAATGGATTTGGTGTGGGTTGTATCTCCTGGCCTTGGAAGAACTCAGATTTCTGGGCCAAGCCTGTCCATAGCCTTTCTGCGGAGGAATGCCAAGAACCATAAAATCGTGTTGACTCGTAGCCTGTCTCTGATGGTAAAGGTCTGTTTACCCCTATTCTTATGCATTACGGCAGACCAGGTTGGAGAAGGGGCTTTGCCTTAGGAAAAGGAGCTGTGTAGTACTTCATGCACCTATTTTGCCCTTAGGTAGCTCTTTATGTCTCAAAATTGTTTCCAAAGAGTAACGTTTCTGAAAGTTAAGTCAAAACTGACAAACTAAAGGCTTGTTTTCTTCTGCTAAGCATGGGGTCTCTTCTGCTCGAGGTCATCGTTCTAGAGCTTTGAGCTGTCAGTTATGCTGAGAAGGGCCCGTGAGTCCTTCGAGAGCGTGGACTGACATTACAAGCCAGGCTGAGTAAGGCGGAGGGCAGGAACGGAGGCAGTTTCAGCATCCCCAGCCAGCTGTGCTGCCAGAGAGGGCTGCAGATCTGTTCTGAATGGGTTGGAGCCAACTGCTCGCACATCTCTCCTGGATTCGTGTAGTCCAAATGAGAGGTCCTGTGCAAAGCTGTCCACTGTGGGCTAACAGAACCACTCAGAGTGGCATCTTCGTGCATATCTGCCATCATCCTGCCAGCACTGGGCCGTTCTTGCAGTAAGAGTATTTTCGGAAAAGCACTGCTATTCATCCTGTGTATTTAGGAACACCTTGAGTGGCTGCTGGTGTATTGTACTGAGCAGAGGCGGAACAACGCTGCTATTGTTGAATATGACAAAAGAAAACCATCATCTGCCAATTAGCATCTTATTACTCATACTCTGCTGCTTAGATTTCACTTCTTTGTGCAGCCACTTTACTTTATGGAGCCTTTAAGAAAAGGCTCTGGCTCTGTCCTGATGACATATCTCCTTTACTTCAGGTCATGATGGCCGAGCTGCTGCCCGCTCTGGAATCCAGACTCCCTGGCCCCGCGCTGGTGAGAGACGAGCTGGCAGAGTGACCCTGCCCGGCCCTCCTGCCGGCCCTTCGCACAGCCACGGGCAGCTTTGAGCAATAAACCTTTTCCATTAACTTTTACTCTACCTGTATGTCAAACTAAAGAAAATTAAATATTGTATTTTGGATTTTTTTTTAATGTTCTCTTGGAATTCAGCACCTCTGAGGCTCTGTGATTCCCTCCAGGGTCTCCATGGATTCTGTTGTTTGATTTTCTCCTAATGTCTGTCTCTCCAGCTAGCTCTAGACCCTCACCCTCTTCAGGTATAGCGGGTATCTGTAGTCAGACAGCATAGCTGTCATAGCATAGCATAGCCATAAAACCTGATTTACACTGTTGACAAGACAGCCACACTGTGGTGGGGTGCAGCTTTTTAGCCATAAAACATGATTTCCACTGTTGACAAGCCAGCCACACTGTGGTGGGGTGCAGCTTTTCCAGTAGCAGAAATTTTGGAGAACCTGAGCTGCTGCCTCCTTACTGTTGTATTCCTTAGCTGGCGCATAGTTACACGGAACCACAGAATGGTTGAGGTTGGAAGGGACCTCTAGAGATCATCTAGTCCAACTCCCCCACTCAAGCAGGGACACCCAGAGCACATGGCACAGGGTTGCGTCCAGGCAGGTTATAATATAATGTTACAATTAGCATTACAGTGCTGAAGTTTTACCTTGTGGCTGTGCGTGAGCCGGTGGTCTGGGCAGGGATGGGTTTTCTGCACTAAGAGGTTTCCAAAATCTAGACACAGTGGAAGGAGCTGGTAAAGCAGCCCAGCAGGTGGCACTCGGACCTCTGCGCTATTGCTGGACCAGCACCAGGCTGGGCCCGGGGAGCAGTTTTTCATGGTGACTGATGCAATACCCCCGAAAAATACGGATTCTCTGGCAATTCTGACCTTGCCAGCATGGCTTAATTCCAGCTTCGGTTCTTCCCAGCAATTGCTAGACCCCGTCGCATAGTTAGGAGGCAATTAAAAGCAATGCTTCAGGATCACGTGGAATGCCTCTGCTTTGAGACTGCAAAATCCCTTTAGGGGAGGGCCACTGTGTCCCACTGCAGCGTTTCTGCTTTTTTTTGCACTTTG